AAGAGTGTCTGCTGCAGGACAAGCTCTGGAGGAGTGTTTGCTATAGAAAAAAGCTTCGGAGGAAGGCTGCTAAAAAAAAGGCTCTGGAGGAGGGCTGATGCAGAGAAAGAACAACAGGAAAGCCCTGCAACTGGGAGGAACAGCAGAGAAGTCATCAACACATAACTCAACAAAGAAGGGTCGCTGGTGAGAGGGAGAGTGGGCCGACAGAGGTCCCACAGAAATCTTTTTGGGAGAGGTCACTGGTGAGATGGCAGCAGTAATCAACGGTTGATTGCACACATGATATACTGTCAACACAACAAGGATCTCAAGAATGTCGTGACTTTAGATATGCACCAATCTCGCGACAAGAAGGTCTGAGACTAGAATCCAAGGATCGACTCTTCAGTGAAGGGAGGTTCGGTGGCTTGAACTACCATCTTCAGGTAGGACGAAACCTCCTTCACAATTTCATCATACCTCGCCTTAAGAGTACGTTGGTATGGTGGAATCCATCTTATTGCAACAACAAATAATATGCCTCACACCAAGGGTGAAAGCAAGAAGGGCATGCTCACGAGTCTGGCCATCCTTGGAAATACCTGCTTCAAAACCTCTAGTGATAGAATCAATAATCAGCACAACACAATCCGCCTGAGAAGTTTCAGTGATCATATTCTTGATAAAATCATGATGATCAGGAGCATCGATGACGATATAATAGTGTTTTGTGGTCTTGAACTTCCACAAGGGGATGTCAATCGTGATACCATGCTCATGCTCGACCATGAGTTTGTCGCGCACCCATGCATACTTGAATGACCTCTTGTTCATCTCAATCGCTTCCTTCTCAAACTGCTCAATAACTAGCTTATCGACTGGAGCGTTGAATTGACCAAAACTGTTACTTTCGTTGATAGTCATTGCGCAGACATGGAAGTCTCCAGCAATGATGTCGATACCAGACCACTCACGACATATCGTAATCATAAAAAGCTTAAGGTAGCCACCAGCGAGCTGAGGAGGAAGGGATGAGAGGAGAGTGGCAAAGCGATTTTTTAGCTCATCCTGGTTTGCCAGCTTGTTAGAGTGCCACATGTAGAAGAAGAGGTCCTTTAAGATCTTTATAAGCTTAGCGTCCAACACGCCAGATGCAGAAGAGGTATCGTCGTTCCGGCTTGGAAGCCATGAGCAAAGGAGGACGGTGCAATTGTGGGAGGATTGCTTGCAAGAGGCCAGCCGCTTTGCTATAGACACACCGGCAAATTCTGCCAGCTCCATAAGCCCAGGGACGCTAGACTAGAACGAGGCAATGATGCAACCAAGAGATGATCCAATGTCGGATGAGAACCCAATCAAAAGGACACAACAACATATAAGAAGGCATCCGGATAAAATAAAAGACCTCCTGCAAAATTTTGATCTGTATTTATCACTCCAATAAAAAATCAAAGATCCAACAACAAATCCAGCCACCAGACCACAGAGCCACATGATGGAAGCCAAAGCGTTTGGATGTAGGGAGTGAGCAGTGAAAGCTGGAGACCCCAACCATATTGAGCTCCTCCGGCGACCGTACAAGCGAAGATTAGCCTCGTCAGGTTTATTTCGTCTCCAAAATCCATTTTAGGATTTTCGATTCTTCTCTGTTCACGAGTTCCAACGACTAGTTTTGACATAAATGACTCCCTTCCTGCAGGGAGGATGGTAGGAAGGGAGTTCGGCGGCCGTGAAAGGAGGACCAGTGGCTAGGGTAGGAATTTGGCTCTAATACCATGGTGAAATTCAGAATAATGTGAAATTGTTTTATTGATATGAAAAGGGGGTATAAATACCCTTACATGAAATAAATCCAATCCAAGAAAATAATTCAAAAATAGAAAAGGAAATAAATTTATATTAGTAAATAAATATAATCCTCAAACTTCTAATAGAAATAAATTATTTCCTAATATAACAGCAAATAATATATATATATATATATATATATTGAAAGCCCAGAAATGTTAATATATTAAATAGGAAGAAAGATACTGATACAATGTGTGGGAGGGCCCAAGCAAGGCACCCTGCCCACACAAAAACCACAAATGGTTCCAAAACTAGAAAAAACAGAAAAAAATACATTAGATACTTCAATAAAAAGTTTAACAGTGCTGAAATACATAGAATCAGGTGGCTAGAGAGAGACCCAATTTGGTTTTGCCTATACCTCTAGTTCTAGGGAAGGAGCAAGCTAATAAGTTGGTAAGGTGATCGTCATTGCCAGTAGTAATTAATGTATCATCAAATATGTTCCCGAGTTGAAGTCAGCCATCATTCTTCTTCTTCCTCCTGGAATAGACCTGTCATTCCTCATCTGAATAGCAGTCTGATGAGATGGTAGAGCTGAAACAAAAGGAATACCAACCGTAGTACCCACAATAGGTTCTAGTATATGTGAAGTATAAGTTGCCTCTACACTGGATACTTCCTGAAGAAGTGGAGTTACGAGGCTCTCCTGATTATCAGTCTGAACACTATCATTTATAGGTAATAGTCCATCAGTATTGTTTTCTATTGGGTTTGAAGGTGTCGGCATCACATCACTCTCAGTAACAATAACAGCAACAACAGCGTCATGAGGGGGCCCTCAGGGGCAACAGACACCTTCTGTCTGGTAGTATCCTAACCAAGTAGAACTAAAATGTTCAGAGCGATGGGTTTAGACCCATCCTTATTCACTTGAACTTTAGATTTCAAATTTGGATGAAACTTGTGATATTTATCAAGGATATGACCAAACATCTTACAGTCGGTACAATATGAGGGTTTGTGCTCCATGACAATTTGTTGTCAATAACCATTATGTGTTGTGTCCAGCTAGACTTCAGTAAAATCAGGTAAAGTAATATCTCAAGTAATATCTCTTCCCACAAGTATTCTAGCCACAGAGGGTCTGGTTGGGTTGAAAGTAGACAGATCTAGCTTTAAAGGATCCCTAAGGATGGCCCCAATAGAGTAGAGAACCTGATGGTGAAAAAAAAATAGTTTGAGACCAGGTAAACTAAACCATACCGGTACAGTAGGAGTTTCATGATTTTGGTCGAAATCAGGAGACCACTTGAGTAGCTTCATAGGTTTACTAGCGATGTTAAGATATTTCCTAGAGAAAATCTGAGCATAGTCCTCAGGCACGGTTAACTGAATCAATACATGCTCTCATTCATGAGCCTCACTTTCCACTTTCCTGTTAGTTTGATGTCATCGAATTTTTTTCTAATATTTTTCATAAGTGGGTCTCTCCACTGAAATTTCTCAATAAAAACAAATTTGAATTTGTCAGTCATAGTTGAAATTTCTGACGTGGATAAAAAGAGTGTTGTCTTCTAACTTTTTTGCTTGTATTATTAATAAAGGAGCAGTCACCTGTACAATCACGATGCTCCTTATAACTTAACTTTTTTGCTTGTATTATTAATAAAGGTGCAGTCACCTGTACAATCACGATGCTCCTTATAACTTGAAGGGAAGACAACCGTCGTCTCCCCCTGAGGATTACCCACCACGTGGGCAAAGGAGGTTTTGTCAGGTTCAATCGAAGAAGAAGGAAGCTCCATCACCAGCAAAGAAAGAGAAACCCTGCAAGTCGGGCAAAAGACAAAAAAAACGAACAGCCATAAAAAGGCGAGCAGATAGAAGTTATGTGGCTCTGTCGAGAGGAGAGGAGTCGTAGCAGCAAGTCGCTGTTAGGACTGTCGAGTCATGCGAAGGAGGGGAACCGGAGGAGATGAGATTTGTTGTGTTTGAGTGTGTCAGTGGGTGAGGAGGAAGAAGTCGCATAAGCTCAGCATCGAAACATACGACGACGCTAAAAGCACTAGCCGACAGAGGAGACGCTCGGCGTCAAAATGGGCGAATAGACGAAACAGACGAAACTGAGGACCGATGAAATGCGAGCTCTTTCGTTCAATATTTATATACGAGTGTGAGTTTATTGTTTTTGAAGGACTAACTCGGACATAATTATATTTCAATGTGGTCATTCTCATCAAATGTTATGTCAATAGCATCCGCTACTTTTAGTAAACAAAATGAGCTTCACATAATAAATGCATGGGAAAAAAAAATTGGACTATTTTTTAAAATGAAATTATTCCAAAATAAAAGACTTTCAGAGATCATGCCAAAAAAAAAAAGAGGAGAAAAGAAAAGTACTTACAAACTAGGCCCATGTTCATCATGACCAGCAATCAGAAGTGAGACTCCAAAAGGTCGTGACTGAAATGAATATAAGGAAGTTTGAGCAACCATATTGCACACGCTAACCAGGTTCAGAAAGAAAAGAAAGAAAATCCAAAATTTGATGTCAGAATAATAAGAAACCATGATAAAGATTGTGCCCTGATTTCCAATTATGCCTCGGCATTCACCAGAAAGATTTTCATGAACAAAACAAAGTTTCTTCCAGGAGAAAAACAATGAGGGAAAATGCATAAGAAAATTTGCAACCTGAATAAGCACCTGTACGCCTAGCAAATCTAAAATGGCATTGGTAAAAGGGAAAAAAATTATGATTAAAAAAATGATTTTTTAGCCATAAAAAAGGGGTCATAAATGCAAGTTAGTTCAATCAAGGGAACTTGCACAATAATTGAGTAGAAATGAACTATCAACCTTAAAAAGTACACAATCAGAAGCTTTGAAAAGTACCCTCCCACACCTTCCACCATAATGGAAACTGAACAGTACCCACACAGGTCCGATAAACTCATCATGACCCTTGCGGCATCACAAACTCCACCCAATGAACTCAAACGGCAATAGAGCCTCCCCTCAATGACACTCAAACAGCAATAGAGTCTTCCATCCATCCCTTTCTCGCTGTCGGCCGTTTTTTTTTTTTTATTTTTTTTTTTATCTTACATCTTTAAAAATCTTTTATTTAGTTTAACTTTATAACTTCAAATAACTTTATGATTTGAAAAAGGTAATAATTTTGTGATTTTCAAAATAATTGAAATATGAATATGACCCTTTTTATTAAAAAAAAAAAAGATAACATTTTAATTTTAAAATAGGTGAGACCAAACGAGTCTCACTTTTTAAATAGTTTAGATGATTGAATACAATACTACAAGTAATACACTTATCCCGAAGAATAAATATATCACTTGTAATAGGGATTCAATCACCTAGACTAAAAAAAATTGTGACATCCGTGTTAGTCTGCGAAATATTTTTATAGAAAGGCCAACAAGTTCCCCTACCTAACATAAAAATTAGGGTTTATTTTATTTGGGTTTCTGGTTCCCTATAGAGGCAAGCCCCTATAGTTAATTACATCTTAAATGATCGAAATCACTTAAGAAAACTCTCGATTAAGATCAGGTGATTTTACTTTCAAGATTTCAAAGTTTAGGTTTTCACGATTG